CAGATGTGAAATAAGTCAAGCTACCTACCAGTAGTGAATTGCATTAACTGGAAAATTAACTCATTTGCATTTCTCTGACAAATAATGTGCATAATTAGTTTACTACCATTTATGGAATTGTAAAATAGTTCAAAGACAAAAAAAGCAATTATATACGACATTCACTCTAATTTATTTTTGCTATCATATGTTCATTTCAAAGTTTTTCACAGTTTTCCCTGACATTGCCTTAAGGAAGGAAGTGGAATATTTAATAAAGGCCTTTGGGAGGCAGATTATTTTAGCTGCTGAGGATCAAACCAAGGGGCTCCCAGATGCCAAACAGGTGCTCTACCAATGAGCTACCACTTCAGCCACATTGGCTACAGTATTTTAAATGAATCAATCAACTGAACTGGAATATTCAACCAATGAAAAAGCACTGAACATAAGTGAACTAAACACTTATTCAGGTAATTTAATCAAAGTCACAAAGTTAATAAATGGGTCAGTGGAAAATTGAACTTAGAACTCCAAGCTCCAAAAACACACATTTTCTGCTAAGCATGTATTTTAATGCACAATATGTATGTATGTATGTATGTATGTGTGTATGTATGTACGACTCAGTTGAGTCAGTTACAGATAATAGCCCTCAATTCAGATAAACCCTAAGGCACACAATTCCATCTGGAGGCCCAGCCCAGTCTTCTGTGCAGTGTGCCCACCCTGGTCAAGTGGCCTCCATGGGGGTTCCTGGCATCCCCTCTGATCTCAAATTTCTGAAAGATCCAAATATAAGTCAGAGAAAGAGAAATGATGAATACGGAGCAGCTGGACATTTGGTAAAGTCTCACATCACTTGGTTTGTTTTTACAGAGGGGAGTAAAGTGCCTGAGGAATGGACAATGCCACGGCAGGGAGCATGTTCTTCCTCAGCGGGTTCTCTCCCGTCCGGGAGCTGCAGATCCTGCACGCTGTGCTCTTCCTGGGGATTTACCTGGCGGCCCTGCTGGGCAATCTTCTCATCATCACACTCACCACCAAGGACCCCCACCTGCACAGCCCCATGTACTTCTTCCTGAAGAATTTGTCCTTCCTGGACCTGTGCCTCATTTCCATCACTGTCCCCAAGTCCATCGAGAACTCTCTGATGAACCTCAACCTCATCTCCTTTCTCGGGTGTGTGGCCCAGGTTTTCTTCCTCATCCTTTTAGCCTCTACAGAAATGGCTCTCCTCACAGTCATGTCCTATGACCGCTATGTTGCCATCTGCCACCCACTCCGATATGGGACCATCATGAGCCACCAAGCTTGTGAGCAGATGGCAGCATACTCGTGGGTCAGCGGAGGTCTCAATGCAGTTCTGCACACAGCTGCTACCTTGTCTGTACCCATGTGTGGACCTCATGTGGTCCACCAGTTCTTCTGTGACATCCCACAGCTGCTCTCCCTTGCCTGTTTCTACAATGTCAGGGAGTTTTTAGTCATTGGGCTCAGCCTCCTTTTGGACATTGGCTGCTTTGTGTTCATTGATGTTTCTTACTTCCACATCTTCTCCACTGTTTTGAAGATGCACTCCCAAGAAGGCCGCTCCAAAGCATTCTCCACATGCCTGCCTCACCTGGTAGTGGGGACTCTGTTTCTGTCTTCTGGGTCTTTTGCCTATTTACACCCCCTGCCCAAGTCTCCATCATTGTTTGATTTGCTAGTTTCCATCTTCTACACTGTGGCGCCTCCCACTGTGAATCCTCTCATCTACAGTCTGAGGAACAAGGACATTCAGAAGGCACTGAGAAGACTGCAGGTGAGTTGGTGTCGCCCTGCACGTTAGAAGAGCTTTGCCGCATACATCATGGTCTTTTCATTCCCTGACACAGCTGTTAGCAGTTAGACTAAAAAGCAAATAAATGCATTACAATCAAATTCAACACCAAAATACAACCAGTAATAAAGAGTGAATGATAGAGACATAAATAATTAGATCTCAATATAAATCTTACCACAGTACTTATCAGTGGTGCTGTCCTTGACATATCAATTGAATTCCTCTCAGATTCTATATCTTAAAGATAAAAATATTTTAAAATTATGTATATGCACATATGTAATTTATATTTATAACATAATTTATATGTATATATGTAATTTATATTTATAGCATAATTTATAAGTATATATGTAGTTTATATTTATCACATATATTTCCTTCATTATATATGTGGAAATTACTTTATAAAATGAAAAAAGCTAATACTGTACAATAATTAACTCATATTTTCTAAATCAGATATTATTGACAATTGTGATATTTGTGATTATTATTTTTTATGATAAAACAAAATTTCATAAAAAATAATAAGAGAATAACATTCATCAATGGACCGTGTATCATTATCTTCAAAGTAGTTACTTAAAATAGAAGATATAGACAAAAAGGATTCTCTCTTACAAAGAAGAATCAGATAAGAGCACAAAACTTTCAAGATTGTGAATTGTATAAGAAAAGTTTTTAAAAGTACATGAGAAGAAATCCAGAACCATGGGGCGGATACCTCTTATCCTCCACAGTTCTCCTAGTGCTTTCTTCCCAAGTCCAGAGAAAATTTCACACAAAACTTTGATCCAGTCCCATGAAGAGCATAGTAAAACTCAAGGTGACATTATTGCCCCAGCTTTCCCTGCACACTTAACGTGTCCACACCCACCAACCTACCAGGTGAGGCTGCAGGGCCATCTGAGGGGAGCTCACCACACAGGCAGAGAGCATTGTGGGAGCAAAGGGCAGCTGCTGCTCTGGACTCCTGGATCTGCTGCTGAAACTTTCTGTTAGTTCTGAATGATATTTCCTAGTTTTTACTCTATCATTTATTCTCTTGATAAAAGAAAATGGGCTCTCTTTTTAAAGCTTTCATACAACATTTATTTGTAACAATTATTTACTGTAGCATAGTAAGAAATAAGCATTTTATTTCCAGTTATTTATAAAAAAATATATATTAATCCCTTATGTTTAGATGGCCATATGATGTATTTGTTTCCTGAGACTGAACTTTTACAGAGAGAAAGTGACAGTTACACTCCAAGAGGGGACAATGTTGCAAGGGTACAGTAACACAAGAAATGTGGGATTCAATCATATTTATGTTTCTCTGAGGAAACTGACAGTGTTTGGCCTGAACACAAATTGTGAACTACAGTGGAGGATGGTGTTTCCAAGAGAATGGGGGATTACTGCTCAGTGTCCCACCACTGGGCTAGACATGAGACTTTCCTCAGTTTAGTTCTTCAGTGTTAGGTAAATACCCTTAGAACATGACTTTGAAATCTGTGAGGGAAAATAAGTAAGTAGCTGACAGGCTTTTGGGGAAGAAGAAATGTGGGAAAACATTAAACTACTGCTCAGAATGATGATGTCAAGTCCAAAGAGTGGTTCACTGTCACCTTACAGCACCATTACCGATCTCCCCAGTTAACTGTAGCCTAAGCTGTGTAGTTGAAACTCAAGGAGTTGGACAGAGAAGAATGAAGAGTCCACATGTGTGACAGAGGTACAGTGTTCCCTGGTTGGTCTGGTGTCCACAGTGGTTGTTGTGCACGTTCAGGATGGTGAATTCCCCTGAACAAGGAGCACCAGAGACGTTCCCAACATACCTCCACCCTCATCTACCTCCTGTCCCCTCTGCTCACTCAGCAAACAGCACCTGGGGATCACATGCTGCTGACTACTTCAGTACTCAATCCACTCTGTGCAAAAATACAGATTACATTGGCAAGTGTATTCTGTGGTTTCTTGGGAAGTTCTTAAACTTCTACAGAGCTCTGTCTACTTCTGACTTTGGAGGTAGGATTTGATAGGAAGGAAATTGTATCATCTACTATCTACCATATATATGTCTGTCTGTCTATCTATCTGTCTGTCTATCTATCCTCTGCTTATCCATCTTCTCAATGTGTCTCAGGTTTTTGGATACTTATGCCAGAACATCAGTGTGTCATATACTGCATCATCCCCTCAGAATACGATGCTCTTAGTGAGCATGTACTCATGGGTTGATTTCCTTCTTGCTCCACATCAGACATTTAGGGTCTTCTGAGACCGTTGTTCTTCAGACTCTCACATCATGAGGTCTCTGCTCACAACATCCCCTTTTAAGGAATTGTTTCACTGTTCCTGAATGTTCTCCATCTATGCCCTCTTTGTCCATGCAAAACCCTTGTTAAATTGTGTCTTGTTGATGCTATGTTTTCTAAAGTTAATAACTGCTCTTTAACTATAGAAGAAATGTTGTTCATATTGTTAGGAAATATATGGTTGAATATTTAGAGGAAATTGTCATAAGATTTTCAACAGATACAGGAAACAGAAAGGGAGAGTGGTAGAATATAAGCAGATGCAATATTAATAATGAGTGAGTCTAGTTAATGTCTTCTGAGATTCATCGTACTATCATTTTTATGATAATTTATGTAAATTTGAAAATATACACAAAACATACAATCCTGCCCCAGGGACTCAAAGGCTTACATCTGTCTCATTATAAACAAGGAATTTAGCCCATCTCTAAGAGTTGAAATGTCTCAACAGTTCAAGCAAAGTCCAACTCCAAACTCTCCTCTCCTACTCAAAGTAAATGCTTAGTTATGAACCTCTGTAACAAAATAGTTAAATGCTCATGATATATATGGTACATGGTAAACATTCCCATTCACAAAGGAAGGAATAAAGAAACATACTATAATCATGCCAAGACTAAAACCCAGGAGGGAAAACCTTAAATCCTGAAGTTCTATGTCCAGCACCTCGGCCAGGCTGTGTTGAGATGCAAGGTCCAGAGGGCTTGGGCAGCCTTGACTTTCTGATGTTGCCACTTGTAGCCTACAAGGTCTCTCTCTTGTGGTGCCTCAGTGCAGCTCCATAGCTTTCCTCAGCAGATCTTACTCATTCTGAGGTCTCCAATTTCCTGGGCTCTTCACCTCACTTTTGCTTTCAGTCTCCTAGCTTTATACACCATCCTCTGAGGGGCACACTGCCTGGCCTCCCAGGTCTTCTTCTGAATTTTGGGTGGAAGCCTCCATGAACCCATAACACTTGCATTTGGATACCTGTTTAACCAGCCCCACATCAATGATGCCAAGGTCTGCTGTCAGTTCTAGCAGTAGCCAACCCACCTTGGACCATGCAGGCAGCCTTTCAGGGTCTCAGCAGCTAAACACTTTGAAAAGAATCCCAAGAACCAATTCCCTAGGTGCCCTTCCCAAGCAGGAGGCCAGGGGATACACTTCATTAATGAAATGTAATAGTTTCACACTTTTAATCTGTAAGGATGGGGTTTTGCTGATTCCTAAGATGCTCTAAGCTATCTTTCCTACTGTACTGATGCAAAATACTTGGATTCTTTTTAATGCAGATTTTTTTTCAACATTCATGTTTTTCTTTGCCTCAACTTTTCGGGAACTTCCTTTTGAGCAAAAATGAAAATGATTCAAACAATTTACTTTGATATTTACTCCTGATTTTCACTGGAGATTTGGCTAAAAGCAGCCAGCACTGCCCTATGCCACAGCCTGAATGCTGGGCCACCTCAACATTTCTTCAGTCAGATTAATTAGTCTACTGAAAATTAATCTCTGTCTCCAACTAAGTCTCCAGACATGAGCAAAATGTAGCCAATTTTTCTGCCACAGCATAACACGTGGCCTGGAGTCCAACTCCCAATGGGGTCCTTGTACCTAACTGAAACCTCCTTATCCTGGGCTCCTGAAAATGTGTGCTTTTTCAGGAGCATGCTGGCCTTCAGATATCTGATGAGAATCTCCCATCAAACTCAGTTTACAACATGCTAGGTCTACCAGGCATCTCCAAAACTTTCCCAGCTCCCCTTAAGAATTAGGACTCTAGGCTTCTGTATCACATGGTCAGATACAACAATGATCTCTCTTCTCTTGTACCAATATCTGTCATAACCACTTTCTTGTCATGGCATAAAATACCCAAGAAACACACATCAAAAGAGCTGAGGTTTATTTAGACTCATGGATTCAGTCCACACTCTGGTGACTCCAAGCCAATTTGGATGGCAGTTTGGTAGGGGAGAATAAATGTCCTCAACCAATGGAAGCCATGAAGCACAGAGAGGAAAAGGAGGCAGAGATGAGAATTCACCCTTTCAAGTCATAAATCCAGTGACCTGCCATGCTCCAGCTCCAAACATGAGAAATTAGGGGCCATTTTAGATCAAAACCATAATAACAACTTAGTAATTTTTAAACAAATAACTTCATGATAATGTTGATCTGAATTTATTTTATTCTTATATATGAAAAAACTGAATGTGATATCATTTTGAATAGTACAGCCAGATGAACAACTGGGACATATTTATTCAAATAACAGTTTTATGCAATACTTGATTCTGAACCATAGAACCATGGAAACTGAGAAACTTCATTGAGATAATGCCTCATATAGTAGAATGAACATTTTTTTAAAAAAACAGGGTGTCTGCAGAACAAAAATACATATCAATTCAAAGGCATGACCAGGGGACCTTGAAGAGGTGTCCTAAATTCAGCTGAATGATCTGACCACCTCCTGCTCATGGGCCTCTAGCTGCAGTCATCCTGTGCTGGACTCTGAGGGTGTCAACTTTCACATCAGAACTGTTATTCTATCTGTTTCCCTCGTGTTGAATGATCAGTCTCTACATTTTTCTTCTATACTGGTCTCTTCAATTCGAATAACCTGAAGGCGTTACTCATTTACAAAACCTATTATCTCAAAACTTTAATCCTTATTATTTTTTGGCACATGTATATATTTGCTATATCCTTCTACTATAAACCTATTACTTTATTGAAGCAGAAAATTTCTCTCTCTTATTTATATTTCTGAATCATTGCTAAATGCCTGGTACATGACAAAAACAGAATAAATGCCTATGAACTTGTTATTGTTTTTAGAGGACAAAGTAAGCCTTTAGTCTATTTATTTTTTAAATTAATTTTTATTTGTATGTTTGCAATTTAGAAAGATCACATTCATCATAGGCATTTTGAGTCTATACATAATATATCTAAATTCTTTTTTCCCACTCCCTGTCCCTCCCTGCAACACCA